GGTTCGCTGGGGACTGGTTCCCTTTCGAAACAGCCGGAACCCTCCCGAAACCCTCCGGGTAACCCTCCAGGAAGGGTTCTGGGAGACTTTTCGGAGGGTCTCGGGAGGGTTGGGGACGGTTTTTCGTTGAGTTTGGGGGCAAGCCAGTCCCTGGCGAACCCTGGGCTTTCTGAAGCTCGGGTGTCCCGGGCAGGCTGAGCAGCCGCGCAGGCCTGGGGGGGCGGCTGCAGAGGAGGAGCGCTCCGCTCCTAGGGGGCGTAGGGGGGCGTCCGAGGCGGGGGGGGTGCGCAAAGCATGGCTGGCTCGGCACGTGCGCGGCCCAGAGGGGGGAGGGGGGGCTGGGGACGCAAGTAGACAAGAGGAGGCGCCACCATGAAGTCTGGGGAGGTATCGTGGCCGCCGCCATGGTATCCACCCCTCTCTCGGCCGCCCCTCTCCTGGCCGCCCCTCTCTTGGCCGCCCCTCTCTGCCCATCACTCCCCTCTCTTGGCCGCCCCCGAGCTCGGCGCTCGAGCTCCCGCCAGGCGGGGCTGGGGGGGCCTCCGGGGGCGGTCGGGGGTCGGGTCGTGAGCCGGGCTCGGACCGAGCCGCAGGCCTCGCGGGAGAGGCGGCGCGGCCGCGGAGGGCTGCCGCACGAGCGGCCGCCTGGCAGGCGTCTGGGGCCTGGAAGCCCCATCCCTGAACTCGCCGTCGCTCGGACGTCCCATCCCCGTGCCTTTGCCGGCTTCGTGCGCGCAGTCTTCGCCAGGGTGGCCCAGAGGGCTCCTCGATGGGCCCCGACAAGAGTAACGCACACGTCCGAGCGATGCCGCTCCTCCTCCTCCTTCGCCTCCTCCTCCTCCTCCTCCTCCTCCTCCTCCTCCTTCTCCTCCTCCTCCTCCTCCGAGCGTGAAGGGTGCCCGCAGCGCAGCGCTGGAGCCCTGCGGAGCGCTGCTGCTCGGAGCGCTGCCCGGGAGGCGGGCCCGAGAGGCCGGGCCGCCCCGCGGCGGCGCAGCCTCAAACCCAGACCCCCGACGTCGTGATTTTTGTCACCACGTCGACCCCGATACGGTCGAGGCGTTGACCTAAGGAACCCTAAATAAGGAACGAGGCCCCTATTCTCCGCAAGTTGAGCTTCGGTTTCGTATCGAAAACCTAAGGACAATCCAAGGCAAGCTGCGAAACAATTAAGGAACACGGCGCCCCTCCCCAACGAAAAGGGTTCCTTCTTCAGGGCCCCGACTGTAGGCCTGGTGTGGGGGGCAACGATAGGGGGTGTAGGGATAGGGGGGGATGCATCGACCCAGAATCGGCGACACATCGCCGACGGATCGGCGATAGGGCCCCGATGGTGAATCAACACCTTCCTGGACAGGCTAGGGCTATCGGGCCCCTATCGGCGATAAATTGGCGATCGGGGGTCGGTGCCTCCCCCCGATGCCTATCCCCCCCGGTCGTTGCCCCTGTTTCGCGTCCTGAGTCGGGGCCCGGTGAGGGCCGGCCTCCCAATCGCCTCCCCTCGCCTCCCCTCGGCCTCCCCCTCGCTCCCCCCCCCCGGCCTCCCCATCGCCGCCCCTGCCCTCCCCCTCGGCCTCCCCATCGTCTCCCCCTCAACTCCCTTCGCCTCCCCTCGCCTCCCCCTCGGCCTCCCCCTCGCCTCCCCTCGGCCTCCCCTCCCCCGGCCCCCCCTCACATCCCCTCGCCTTCCTCGCCTCCAGCCGACCCTCCCCTCGCCTCCCTCGGCCACCCCTCGCCTCCCGCATGCCTCGCTCCCTACCTTCCCCCTCCGTCTCCGCGATCCGACGACGCCTGCCACACCACCCCAATCCCACCCGAAGGCCCAGCTTTCGGGTTGGGGGGGATACTTTGCCGTCACTCGGACGTCCCTTCCCCGTGCACTCGCCGCTTTCGCGCGTGCTCTTGCTGTGCGAGGAGGGTCCAGGATGCTCCTCGACGGTCCTCGCTGAGAGAAAAGGCACACGTCCGAGCGATACCAAGGCACGGGTTCCACATGTGTTTTCTTCGATGTCCCCCGACACACACACACACACACACACATTCACACACACACACACACACATTCACATACACATTCACACACACACATTCACACACACACACATTCACACACACACACACACCACTGGCAATGGGGGGAAGATTGGGGCCTCCGGGTTGGGTTGGGGTGGCTTGGTGGGTGTCGGGAGCGGCCAAGAAGGGGGTGTCCAAGAGGGGGGAGTGCAAATCATGACTGGCGACATGTGCGCGGCCCAGCGGGGGGGGGCCAGGGACGGCATGAAATAAGAAGAGGCGCCATGAAATCTGGGGAAATATCATGGCCCACGCCATGATATCCACCCCATCCTAGTCATCACCCCCCTCTTTGCCGCCCCCGAGGGTGACGATCCCCCTGCCCTTCCCCACTCGCTCCCCCGTGACTCCCTGAGGGGGTCCGCCAGCCTCACGCCCTGGCTCCCAGCGAGCACACCCGCGCCGGCGGCTGGAGACTGCCGCAGCTGCC